TTCTCTATATATTTTGGATATCAGACCTTTGTCAGTTGCGGGGTTGGTAAAGATCTTCTCCCAGTCAGTAGGTTGCCTTTGTGTCTTAGTGATAGTGTCCTTTGCTTTGCAGAAGATTCTCAGTTTTAGTAGGTCCCATTTATTCAATGTTGCCCTTAATGTCTGTGCTTCTGGGGTTATACATAGGAAGCGATCTCCTGTGCCCATCTGTTCTAGGGTGTTTCCCACTTTCTCTTCTATCAGGGTCAGTGTGTTCGGGCTGATATTGAGGTCTTTAATCCATTTGGACTTGAGTTTTGTGCCTGGTGAAAGATGTGGGTCTATTTTCATTCTTCTACAGGTTGACATCCAGATGTGCCAGCACCATTTGTTGAAGATGCTTTCTTTCTTCCATTGTATACTTTTGGCTCCTTTATCAAAAATGAGGTGTTCATAGGCTTGTGGGTTAAAATCCGGGTCTTCTCTACGATTCCATTGGTCGACTTCTCTGTTTTTATGCCAGTACCACACTGTTTTCATTACTGTAGCTCTGTAATAGAGTTTGAAGTCAGGGATGGTAATGCCTCCAGAAGATCCTTTATTGTATAGGATTGTTTTGGCTATCCTGGGTTTTTTGTTTTTCCATATAAAGTTGATTATTGTCCTCTCCAAATCTGTGAAGAATTTTGATGGGATCTTGATGGGGATTGCATTGAATCTATAAATTGCCTTAGGTAGAATTGCCATTTTTACTATGTTGATCCTCCCAATCCAAGAGCAAGGTAGATCCATCCATTTTTTGGTATCCTCTTCAATTTCTTTCTTCAATGCCTTAAAGTTCTTGTCAAATAGATCTTTCACTTCCTTAATTAGATTTACCCCAAGATATTTTATGCTGTTTGTGGCTATCGTGAATGGTGAAGCTTCTCTGATTTTCCTCTCTGCTTCCCTACCCTATCCTTTGTGTATAAGAGGGCGACTGATTTTTTGGAGTTGATTTTGTATCCTGCCACATTACTAAAGGTGTTTATCAGCTGTAAAAGTTCTTTGGTGGAGTTTTGGGGGTCGCTTATGTAAACTATCATATCATCTGCGAATCACGAAAGTTTAACTTCTTCCTTTCCAATTCGAATCCCCTTGATCCCATTATGATGTCTTATTGCTATTGCTAGAACTTCAAGTACTATATTGAAGAGGTATGGCGAGAGTGGACATCCTTGTTGTGTTCCTGAGTTAAGCGGGATGGCTTTGAGTTTCTCTCCGTTTAATTTGATGTTAGCTGTCGGCTTGCTGTATATAGCTTTTATTATATTTAGGTATGACCCTTGTATCCCTAATCTCTCCAAGACTTTTAACATAAATGGATGTTGAATTTTGTCGAATGCTTTTTCAGCATCTAATGAGATGATCATATGCTTATTTTCTTTCAGTTTATTTATATGCTGGATTACATTGATAGATTTTCGTATGTTGAACCAGCCCTGCATCTCAGGAATGAAGCCTACTTGATCATAATGGATAATATTTCGGATGTGTTCTTGGATTCGGATTGCCAGTATTTTGTTGAGGATTTTTGCGTCGATGTTCATGAGTGAGATTGGCCTGTAATTCTCTTTCCTGGTTGAGTCTTTGTGTGGTTTTGGTATCAGAGTAACTGTAGCTTCATAAAAGGAATTAGGTAATGACCCTTCTGTTTCTATATTGTGGAATACATTAAGGAGTATAGGTATTAGCTCTTCTTGAAGTTCTGGTAGAATTCCTCATTGAAACCATCTGGTCCTGGGCTTTTTTTGGTAGGGAGGTTTTTGATAACAGCTTCTAATTCTTCGCGACCAACAGGTCTGTTTAGATTGTTCACCTGGTCCTGGTGTAACTTTGGTATATGGTATTTATCTAAAAAAGTGTCCATTTCTTTTACATTTTCCAGTTTTGTGTTATACAGGCTTTTGTAATAAGATCTGATGATTCTCTGAATTTCCTCTGTGTCTGTGGTTATGTCCCCCTTTTCATTTCTGATCTTATTAATTTGCGTATTCTCTCTCTGCCATTTGATTAGTTTGGATAGGGGTTTATCAATCTTGTTGATTTTCTCCAGGAACCAGCTTTTTGTTTCATTGATTCTTTGGATTGTTTTCTGTGTTTCTATTTTGTTGATTTCAGCCCTCAGTTTGATTATTTCCAATCTTCTACTCCTCCTAGGTGAGTCTGCTTCTTTATTTTCTAGAGCTTCCAGGTGGGCTGTTAGGTCTTCAATATGAGCTTTCTCTGTTTTCTTTAAGTGGGCACTTAGTGCTATGAACTTTCCTATTAGGACTGCTTTCATAGTGTCCCATAAGTTCGAGTATGTTGTTTCTTTATTTTCATTGAATTCAAGGAAGACTTTAATTTCTTTCTTAATTTCTTCCTTAATCCAGGTATGGTTCAGTAGTTGACTGTTCAGTTTCCATGAGTTTGTAGGCTTTCTGGGGGTAGCATTGTTGTTGAATTCTAACTTTAATCCATGGTGATCTGATAAGACACAGGTGGTTACTAATATTTTTTTGTAACTGTGTAAGTTCGCTTTGTTACCAAGTATGTGGTCAATTTTTGAGAAGGTTCCATGAGCTGCAGAGAAGAAGGTATATTCTTTCCTCTTTGGGTGGAATAATCTATAGATGTCTGTTAAGTCCATTTGCTTCATTACCTCCATTAATTCTCTAATTTCTCTGTTAGGTTTCTGTTTGATTGACCTGTCCATTGGTGAGAGAGGAGTGTTGAAGTCTCTTACTATTAGTGTGTGTGGTTTGATGGCTGCCTTGAGTTTTAGTAATGTTTCTTTTACATACGTGGGCGCTTTTATATTAGGGGCGTAGATTTTCAGGATTGAGACTTTATCCTGATGAATTGTTCCTGTTATGAGTATAAAATGCCCCTCTACATCTCTTCTGATTGATTTAAGTTTGAAGTCAACTTTGTTAGAAATTAGGATGGCCACAGGTGCTTGTTTCTTAGGTCCATTTGCTTGATAAGCCTTTTCCCAGCCCTTTACTCTGAGTAGGTGCCTGTCTTTCTGGTTGAGGTGTGTTTCTTGTAGACAGCAGAATGTTGGATCCTGTTTTCGTATCCAATCCCTTAGCCTGTGCCTTTTTATAGGTGAGTTGAGCCCATTGACCTTAAGTGATATTAATGACCAGTGGTTGTTAACTCCGGTCACTTTTTTAGTAGTAGGGTTTGTGTGTTTCCCTTCTTTGAGTTGCGCTGGTGAAAGGTCTCTAGATGACTGAGTTATTGTGGGCATTGTTGGACTCCTTGGTTAGTGATTTTCCTTCTATAATTTTCTGTAAGGCTGGATTTGTGGCTACGTATTGTTTAAATTTGTTTTTATCCTGGAAAATTTTGTTTTCTCCATTTATAGTGAACGAAAGCTTGGCTGGATATAGTAGTCTGGGCTTGCATCCATGATCTCTTAGTTTTTGCAGTACATCTATCCAGGACCTTCTGGCTTTCATGGTTTCCATAGAGAAGTCAGGTGTAAGTCTGATAGGTTTACCTTTATAAGTAACTTGGCCTTTTTCCTTTGCGGCTCTTAATATTCTTTCTTTATTCTGTATATTTTGTGTTTTGATTATTATATGGCGAGGGGATTTTTTTTTTTGAGACAGGGTTTCTCTGTGGCTTTGGAGCCTGTCCTGGAACTCGCTCTGTAGACCAGGCTGGTCTCGAACTCACAGAGATCCGCCTGCCTCTGCCTCCCGAGTGCTGGGATTAAAGGCGTGCGCCACCATCGCCCGGCGGGATGTTTTTTTTTTTGATCCAGCCTATTTGGTGTTCTGTATGCTTCTTGAACCTTCATAGGTACCTCTTTCTTCAGGTTGGGAAAGTTTTCTTCTATAATTTTATTAAGTATATTTTCTGTACCGTTGAGCTGCACTTCTTCTCGTTCTTCTACTCCAATTATTCTTAGGTTTGGTCTTTTTATTGTGTCCCAAATTTCCTGAATGTTTTGTGATGAGAATTTGTTGGTTTTGCTGTTTTCTTTGATCAGTGTGTTTATTTTCTTTATGGTGTCTTCAGTGTCTGATATTCTCTCTTCTATCTCTTGTAATCTGTTGTTAGTACTTGTCTCTGTCGTTCCTGTTCGTTTACCCAGATTTTCCATCTCCATTCTTCCCTCGGTTTGTGCTTTCTTCATTGCTTCCATTTCATTCTTCATGTCTTGAACCACTTTCCTAACCTGTTTGATTGCTTTTTCTTGTTTCTCTTGGTTTTCTTGCGTGTCTTTGAGCGATTTATTCATTTCCTCTACCTTTTTGTTTGTAATCTCTTATTGTTTATGGCAGTTTTCACCTCCTGTTTAAGGTCCTCTATTATTTTCATATAGTTCACTTTTGAGTCGATTTCTTCTATTTCTTCAGGAATAGGGTGTACAATTCTTCTTATTTCGGGATCCCTGGTTTCTGGTGGTGTCATGTTGCCTTTCAGGTTGTTGGAGGAGTTCTTGTATTGGCGCCTTCCCATCTCTTCCTTCAAATGGAGCCAGGAGAGGCCTGGTCTCTTGGTCCAGCCTTTGCTGTGATTGACTCTCTGGGTATATCTCTTCAGTGTAGAAGCAGGAACTGTTTGTTTGTTTTTTGAGACAGAGTTTCTCTGTAACTTTGGAGCCTGGAATTAGCTCTTGTAGACCAGGCTGGTCTCAAACTCACAGAGATCTATCTGTCTACCTCTTCTTCCCGAGTGCTTAGGTTAAAGGCATGTGCCACCACCGACCAGCTAAAACTTACTTCTTAAATGTAGAAAATGTTAGCTGATCAAAGCCCAATATTTTGCTCGTAATATATATGCAATTTAAAAAGTTAACTCTTTCTGAGCAAAAATATAAAAAGAAACAGTCACTCTTAAAGGGTCTTCCTAAACAAGTAAATCATATATGTGTGATTTTATAACAGTTTTTGGCTTATAATTATATATTGTCTGTTTTAAAACATAAATTTTAGGTAGTAATTTCTTAAAGAAGTAATTTAATGCTTATCATTCACTTACAGGGTTGGTTAGTGGATCTTATTAACACATTTGGCACATTAGATGGTTTCCAGATTTTGCATGATCGTTTCATTACTGGATCAGCATTAACAATTCAAACAATTTCAGCTCTAATTAAGTAAGTTATATTTTAAGATATTTTCAGCATAATATACAAGTTGCTCTTATTTACTTGGAAATAATTGAGTTTTAATTCTTAAATGTTTTTTTTCTGAATTTAGCATGATTTGCTTGTACGTATTGAAACTAATTTGAAAACTAGACTGTAGAAGAAAAATTGGATATTAAAGTTTTGTGTTCCCTCTTTTCAGGCCTTTTGGACAGTGCTATGAGTTTCTCACTCAACACACTTTAAGAAAGTACTTCATCCCAGTTATTGAGGTAGTTCCACAATTATTACAAAAAATAACTAATGAAGAACTGAAACGAGAAGCAAAGAGTGAAGTGAAAAATGATGCCATTTCAATGATTATTAAATCTCTAAAGAGTTTAGCCTCAAGAATTCCAGGACAAGAAGAAACTATTAGAAATTTAGACATTCTTAGGTTAAAAATGATACTCAGGTGAGATACTTTTTACCTATAGTTACTGTTACTGTGATTTATGTTGTTGCCTATTCGGTGATTGCATATTGAATTTAGGATCCTGTATGATAGGCAGCCATTTTACCAATTTGAAAAAAAATGGTTTGTTTGGATTTGGGTTTTTATTGTTTGTTTTGGGGTTGTAACAGTCTATGCTGGCTATGAATTCACTGTGTAACCCTGGCTTTCATTTTGTGATACTCCCACTTCAGTCTTTAGAGTTGCTTTTGTGTTATGCATGTGGCACTAGCCCTTTGCTATTCCTATGGATCATGAAAAATTATTATTGATTACAATTTTTATAGATTGCTGCAGATTTCTTCTTTTAATGGAAAGATGAATGCACTGAATGAAATTAACAAGATGCTGTCAAGTGTATCATATTATACACATCAACATGGTAATTCTGAGGAAGAATGGCTAACCGCTGAACAAATGGCAGTAAGCTCCATTTTTTTATATAATCGAAACATACTTGCCTCTTTATTTTTTTGTGTATAGGGCTGGAATTTCTGAGGACAGTTTATGAGACTCAGTTTTCTGCCTGTCAATCTGGGATCTAATGACCAAACTTGGCAGCAAACTCCAAGTGTTTATTACTTCTACCACAAAACAAAAAAATAATAAGGCCTGGAGAGATGACTTAATGGCTTCGAGCACATTTGTTGTGCTTCCAGAGCCATTGGTTTCCAGTTGCCGCAAATATCTCTAATTCTAATTTGAGGGAATCACACACCCTCTTTTAGACAACCAGGGAATGCTTCAAACATAATATACACATGGTTCACTAACATATGATAAAAACACACTGTATACACAAATAAGTAAACTCTTAAAATTAAAACTGCTGAACTTTTTAAGTTGATAAACAATGGATTGGTAAGAACGTTAAGTAACTTACTGTATCTTTTGTGAATGTGTACTGAATATAGGTGACTTGTTTAAATTAAAGAGAAAACTTCTGGAATCTAGTGAATGAGTATTCTATGGAATCACTTAAAACATTTTAATTTGAAGTGAATAGCAGTTATAAAAACTTGAATTATAATTTAATATGAGTACTGTTTATACATATTTGTGAAGAATAATCATTGTCTTACAAGAGTCTTAATTACCAGATTGACTCAGAACTTTGAGGGCTTTTTTTTCTTAACTGTTGTGAAAATAGTATATACCTAAGACAAAGACTTTGACTAAGGATTTATTTAAGCTCAGATTTTATGTTTATATCGATAAATTAAATTAGCATCTCTCAACAATGCAAAAGAAGAAGCATTTTTTGTTATAAATTAATGTGACATTTATGAGGTATTTGAATACATTTTACAAGAGAATGTTCTAAAACATACTGGAAATATAAAAGTCATTATGCTCATACATTATAACTAAAATATGTGATACTGCTGCTCATAGATGAGGAATTTCTCTTTATTTCAGAATTAAATTACATGCAGTTTGTAATTACCCATTAAGGCAGCAATTGTGTTATCTTAATGGGTACATTTTACATGCAGAATTTAATTCTATAAAATTACTTATTTTAATATTTAGTAACTGCATTAAAGATTGATTTCACTTGTGTCATCTGTATAAGTGAAAAATTTTATTTTGGTTTTTGGAATATTTTTATTTCCTACAGTTAAACAATATTTGTGCTGTTTTAAATTTAGGAGTGGATACAACAAAATAATATCTTATCCATACTGTTACAAGATAGTCTTCATCAGCTACAGTATGTGGAAAAGCTAGAGAAGATTCTGCGTTTTGTCATTAAAGAAAAGGCTCTTACTTTACAGGATCTTAATAATATCTGGGCAGCACAGGTAAGAAATTTTCTTAAGATAGTAAAAATTTAATAAAATTACAGGTTTATCTAGTGACTTGAGTAACAGATTTTTATTACTACAATTTCAGTAAGCTATTTTATTTAGATATCTGGTCAGGAATTCTTTTTTTAAAAGATATCCATATATTTATGTAGTAAAGATATAGATGATTTTATATTACAAAACCATCTATTGAAGCAATTTTGGAAGGAATAATGGTGGAAAAAGTATAAAGAATTTAGTAATTGGAAGAAGTTTTTCTTATAGTCTTTGAAGAAGGAAGTGTGAAAAATTTGGAAAAAAATTTATTACTGTATCAGTTCCAAAAACCTATGATTGCTATGTTAGATTGGAACTTTTAATAATAAGTTACCTTATTTTGCTAGAAAATACTGTGTAATTTTTTTTCATTTTTTTATTATTGAGAAAAGGAAGGAAAAAAAGTTTCCACCTCCTCCCAGCCTCCCATTTCCCTCCCCCTCCTCCCACCCTTCTCTCCTTCCTTCCATCATCCCCCTCATCCCACTCCTCTCCCCCTCCCTCTCCAGTCCAAAGAGCAGTCAGGGTTCCCTTCCCTGTGGTAAGTCCTAGGTCCTCCCCCCTCTGTCCATATCTAGGAAGGTGAACATCCAAACTGGCTAGGCTCCCACAAAGCCAGCACATTAAGCAGGATCAAAACCCAGTGCCATTGTCCTTTGCGACTCATCAGCCCTCATTGTTCGCCATGCTCAGAGAGTCCGGTTTTATCCCATTCTTTTTCAGTCACAGTCCAGCTGGACTTGGTGAGCTCACAATAGATCAGCTCCACTGTCTCAGTGGGTGGGTGCAACCCTCTTGGTCCCGACTTCTTTACTCATGTTCTCCCTCCTTCTGCTTTTCATTGGGACCTTGGGAGCTCAGTCCAGTGCTCCAGTGTGGGTCTCTATCTCTATCTCCATCCATCTCCAGATGAAGGTTCTATGATGATATGCAAGATATTCGTCAGTATTGCTATAGGCTAGGGTCATTTCAGGTTCCCTATCCTCAGCTGCCCAAGAAACTAACTGGGGACCTCGCCTTGGGCTCCTGGGAGCCACTCTAGGTTCAAGTCTCTTGCCAACCCTAAGGTGGCTCCCTTAACTAAGAATTGTGCTTCCGTGCTCCCCTATCCACCTTCCTTCATCCCTATCTTCTTTTTTCCCCAAGTTCCCCCCATTCTCCCCTTCTCCCTTTTCTCTCCCCATCTCCCCTTACCCCCATCCCACCCCACCCCCAGGATCTCAATTTTCTCCCCGGGAATTTTGTCTGCTTCCCATAGCGAAGAGGATAACTATATGTTTTTCCTTTGGTTCAACTTCTTACTTAGCTTCTTTAGGATCACCAATTGTAGACTCCGTGACCCTTAATTATGGGTAGAAACCAATTATGAGTGAGTACATCCCATGTTCATCTTTTTGGGTCTGGGTTACCTCACTCAGGATAGTGTTTTCTATTTCCATCCATTTGCATGCAAAATTCGAGAAGTCATTGTTTTTTACCGCAGTGTAGTACTCTACTGTGTATATATTCCATACTTTCTTCATCCATTCTTCCATTGAAGGACATCTAGGTTGTTTCCAGGTTCTGGCTATTACAAATAATACTGCTATGAACATAGTTGAACAAATGCTCTTGTCATATGATAGGGCATCTCTTGGGTATATTCCCAGGAGTGGTATTGCTGGGTCCAGGGGTAAGTTGATCCCGAATTTCCTGAGAAACCGAAACACTGCTTTCCAAAGTGGTTGCACAAGATTGCATTCCCACCAGCAATGGATGAGGGAACCCCTTCCTCCACAGCCTCTCCAACAGAGGCTATCATTGGAGTTTTTTATTTTAGCCATTCTGACAGGTGTAAGATGATATCTCAAAGTTGTTTTGATTTGCATTTCCCTGATCGCTAAGGTGGTTGAGCATGACCTTAAGTGTCTTTTGGCCATTTGAACTTCTTCTGTTGAGAATTCTCTGTTCAGTTCAGTGCCCCATTTTTTAATTGGGTTAATTCGCATTTTAAAATCTAGTTTCGTGAGTTTTCTATATATTTTGGAGATCAGACCTTTGTCTGTTGCGGGGTTGGTGAGATCTTCTCCCAGTCAGTAGGTTGCCTTTGTGTCTTAGTGACAGTGTCTATGCTTTAGAAGCTTCTCAGTTTCATTTATTCAATGTTGCCCATAATGCCTGTGCTGCTGGGATTATACGTAGGAAGTGGTCTCCTATGCCCATAAGTTGTAGAGTACTTCCCACTTTCTCTTCTATCAGGTTCAGTGTGTACAGATTGATATTGAGGTCTTCAATCCATTTGGACTTGAGTTTTGTGCATGGTGATAGATAGGGGTCTATTTTCATTCTTCTACAGGTTGACATCCAGTTATGCCAGCACCTGGATTTGTTGAAGATGCTTTCTTTCTTCCATTGTATACTTTTAGCTCCTTTATGGAAAATCAGGTGTTCATAAGATTGAGGGTTAAAATCCAGTCCTCTATTTGATTCCATTGGTCGACTTCTCTGTTTTTATGCCAATACCAAGCTGTTTTCAATACCATAGCTCTGTAATAGAGTTTGATGTCAGGGATGGTAATGCCTCCAGAAGTTCCTTTATTGTATTAGATTGTTTTGTCTATCCTGGGTTTTTTGCTTTTCCATATAAAGTTGATTATTGTCCTCTCCAGATCTTTGAAGAATTTTTATGCGACCTTGATGGGGATTGCATTAAATCTATAAATTCCCTCTGGTAAAATTGCCATTTTTACTATGTTGATCCTCCCAATCCAAGAGCAAGGGAGATCCTTCCATTTTCTGGTATCCTCTTCAATTTCTTTCTTCAATGCCTTAAAGTTCTTGTCAAATAGATCTTTCACTTCCTTGGTTAGATTATCTCAAGCCCTGAAAGTCTTTGTTTTTTTCTTTTATGCTACTGATGTGTCTTACCCTCTGAGCTTACATGGTAAGATTTTGATTTTGAACTTTATTTTGGTTCACCTTTTCTTTACCAGTTCTATTTTTTCTTCATCTATATTTTCATGTCTTGAATTTTTATTTCATTCAACTTTTTTTATCATGTTTATAAATGCTATTTTGAAGTCCTAGTGCTTCCAATATGTCTACCAATAAACAAATATATATGTGCTTCCAATAAATTACTTTTTCAGACCCAAACAGTAGTGTTGCTATGTTCTAGGTGAAGCCATATTGTCTTTGTTATTCATGTTGTGTTTACACTGACTCTGCTTATCTGTAGTTATGTTGTTTATTGGAATAGAGCTTTGTTGAATCTATTACACCAATCTGACAGTTGATTGGCCAGAAGAATGATGCTTGGATCTCAGTTTTCACAGCTCAGTTCTGAAACCTGATTAGAGTTGGGGTTTAGACCCCAACCATGTCCAAGTTGTTGTAGTGATGGGGTTGGGTGATAAGCTATCGGACCTCCAGTGACAACCAATCCTGGAGTTCCTTCAAGGTCTTTAAGTCAGAAAAAGGACTAGGATTACACTATTAAGGATGTGAATGAGTACAAAGAAGATGGAAGAGGTAGAGGTTGAGGAGGAGCTGAGATGGGCAGGTAGCAGAAAGTCTAAGAGTACTCTCCAGAAACCAGAATGAAAGAGGGTACGGTGTGCACAGTTAGACTACCTAGGTTCCAGACAAGTGTGGCACTTCTAAGGTCCCTAGTAGATAGTGGTTCACCAGTCAAACAAAAGGAGATGGTCTCAGAAGAATTACTGAAACTGACAGCAAGGAACAACTATAGAGATGCTGCCAAGTTTTTTGTTCAGATAAAATATTTTATATTTCCTTCATTAAACATTTAGGTTCCTTTCTTTTTTTTAACAGAGCAAAGGACTTTATTCATTATTTCTTTAAATTTTATATATATAATATCACAGATACATATGAAACATTAAATAAAAATACACAGCATAACAGTTATAACAGTAACATATAAGTATATAGTACCAAGTAGATAATAAGCTGGTGGTGGTGGCACACACATTTAATCCCAGAACTTGGGAGATAGGGACAGGCAGATATCTGGATTTAAAGCTATCTTGGTGTACAGAGTGAGTTCCAGGACAGCCAGGAACTCTTGTCTCAAAACAGACGGAGAGGGAGAGAGAGAGAGAGAGAGAGAGAGAGAGAGAGAGAGAGAGAGAGAGAGAGAGAGAGAGAGAGAGAGAGAGAGATTTTGGATAATATAACATTTAGGCACTCAAACTAAAAGACTGTGAGATAATGAATATACTGACTTGATTGACACCAATAGTTATTTCTAAATATATGACTATTAAGGCAGAATTTCATATGTCTTAAATATGATTTAAAATTTTTAATTATTTAAAACAACTTAAGTTTAATTATAATTTGATTCTACCCAAGTCTTTCCAGATCATTTCTTCCTCCCTGTTTATCCACCCAAATTTTAAGTTCTTTCCCAAACAAAAGGAAGGAAGTATAACAACAAACCCAGGAAACAAAGTACAAAAACAAACTTCAAACTTTAGCTAAATAAAAGCACACAAAAAACTGTGGAATCTATTTTTTTTGTTCCTGGAACGAACCTTGTAGACCATGCCAGCCTTGAACTCCCAGAGATCCACCTGCCTCTGCCTCCCAAGTACTGGAATTAAAGGCATGTGCCACCACTGCCCAGAATCCATTATTCATTGTTCAACTACTGCTAAACATTAGGCCTCTCCTGGAGTAGTTATTAATCCCTGTAGGTATTATAGTGTCTAGGTTTTATTCATTCATTAATTCTTTAATAACAGTGTAAAATGCAAGATAAAACAAAAGCAACCACATTGAGTCTGATCAAGGCAACTCAACAGAAGGAAAAGAGCCCAAGAGAAGGCACAAGAATCAGAGAACCACTACTTTGCACAGTAGTAATTCCATAAAAACATTTAACCTGGAAGTCATTATATATTCATAGAGGACCTGATGTAGGCCCTGTACATGTTGCCTCAGTCTCTTTGCTC